GGACACGTGACGCCACGTGACGTTGGGGGAAACAAAGGTAAAGGAGCAGCCCTGCAATGACTCCCGCTCACGCCACTGCTTGCAGAAGGCCATCGAATAGTGGAAGCTCCAGACAGCATGTCTTAGGCGTTGGCCTACTCTTCCACGCTGGACAGAGGTGGAGGGGGGGGGGACCCGTGCCAATGTCGAGATGTGCTGCTAGCCACGACGAGAGGGCTTCAGCAGACAGTTCGTGTGGTTTTGCTGTTCCTCTTCCGTTGAATGAGGGCAGACCACAGTGATTTACGATTGTTTCGAAGATTAACATTGCCCATAGACCAACACTGGACCCATAGACTAACATTGCCCATAGAACAACATTGGACCCATGGACTAATATTGCCCATAAACTAACAATGGACCCATAGACTAACATTGCCCATATATTAACATTGCCCATAAACCAATATTGGACCCGTTAACTAACACTGGAACCATGGACTAACATTGCCCATAAACCAACATAGGACCCACAGACTAACATTGTCCAGGCTAACATTGGGCCCATCGACATTTCCCACACGCTATTCTATTCTTGCGTACGGCAAATATGCTCAGGAGCTCGATGCCAATGTGGGAGGGAGGTCTGCTGCTCGCTCGCACGCCACGACGAGAGGGCTCCAGGAGAGTGAGAGAGTTCGTGTGGTTTCGCTCGGCCAATGCCGGATTAAGATAGTGCCGGGCCTGTAGCATGATGTTATAAAGGGGCCCCTAAATTTAAAAAAACATGTCAATATTAAAACACAATTTTTTTACTTGCATAGTGAAGTTATTGTATTTTTTCATTCGCTATACGGCCAGATAATGACAAATCGCTAACTTTAAACACCCAAACGTTCGTAAAAGTTGAAGGCGGTATAGTACTATAGTAATAGAGCAAAGTGCAGAATCACTGAACCGGAATTGATAGCTTGAAAGCATTTAGCGCGGGGCCCTTGAAAGTGCGGGGCCCGTAGCTACTACTACATATGTCGTAGTAGCTACGACATATGTTGTAGCTACTACACGTGTTGTAGCTACTACAACATATGTAGCCACTTGTGCTACGAGGATCATCCGGCACTGCCCTCAACCACTGTGCCGCGTCCATCCATGAACACCGCTGTTGGATGGGCACAGGCGACCATACGGGTGTCTGGGGGGGGGGTGTGAGTGAGTGTGAGATGACCACCTTCAACTACGGTGTCCGGGAGATCGAATTCAAACCCGCTGACCAGCAGACTGCAAGCTCTGGCGCGCGGAGCCAGTGACGCCACGGAGTCGCCGGCGACGTCACCGCGTCGCTCTGTGCGCCAGGCTAGGTGCACTTCTGAGGCTGCATGAAGTGTCCGGAAGGCACGCTGGCAAGGAGGTGGGGGGCACGAGATCTCAGAACCCAGCGGACACTACGGCTTGAACGACTTTGCGGGGGGGGGGGGGGGTTGCCACTGGCAAGGTGGCACCAGCTGCGCTCACCCGAGTCGTCGCGTTTTACCCGCCCGGTGCTCCGCTCGTTGTTGTGAGCGGCGCTCCTCTGCCCACCGTTCTCCACCCCCCCCCATTGCCACTGTAGCAAGCAAGCGACTTATGTCGCTTGTGTGTATATATACAATATGTATACATATGTAGAGTGTATACAGCACACGCACACATATATACACGTAAGTGAATATATGTAACAAACAAAAAACACGTGTAAATTAGGTGGCTTCAAAAGAGGATGCCGTTCAGATTAGTAGAGCATCTCTCGGTGCAAACAGCACCTCGCGTTGGCTACGTACGGTGCGAAAGAAGTTCAACATACATACGCACGTTCCGGAGACTTACCCAATGTGTGGGGGGAGGGCTAAGGGGATGTGCGCATCGCGAGGGGAAGATCAGGCATGGTTATTGTTTTTAAATACATATCGGGAGTCCTGTTGCAATTGTGCCAAAATAAGTGGTAACACAAACATCCCCTTTTAGCTTCCTGGTTTACAGCTGTTCCCTGCAACAATGTTTTGTTGTAAGTTGAATTGTTCTATTGTATGTTTATAATTGTATAGTGTACTGTGCACACCCCCCTCGCACACCAAAACACATAAGAGTACAGTGCTGACACGCACACCTTGACACGCACACACACAGTGACACACAAAGATCCCCGTGTAGCATGTAACAGACTGTTGGGGCAAGTGCTGTTAGCGAGCACCTTCTGAAGACTGACACGGCACAAGAGGGGGTGGGTGGCCAGCATCAGGCCCGACCGCCTTTGTCTCCCCAGTGGCGCTGTTTTAATACCGCACCGGGTACTCATTTGAGGCGGAGTCGACCTAGGGGAGGCTCGGGACCGGTTCAGATATTCGTCACCGATGTTGGCCGCCAGCGGGTTCGTAGCGCAGCGTAGCGCTAACCGCTGCACTGCCGCTCCCCACTGTTAGTGAGCACACACACACACACGCTGACACACACACACACACGCTGACACACACGCTGACACACAAAGACAAAGATCCCCCATATAGCCTTAACAGACTGTAGGGGCAAGTGCTGTTAGCGAGCACCTATGAAGGCCGGAACGGTACACGAGGGGGTGGGTGGCCAGCACCACGCCCGACCGCCTTTGTCTCCCTAGTGGCAATGTTTACACACCACACAAGGTACTCATTTGAGGCTGAGTCGACCTAGGGGAGGCCCGGGACCGGTTCAGATAATCGTCACTGGTGTTGGCCGTGAGCGGGAATCGAACTCGGGTCGCCAGGTTCATAGCGCAGCGCGCTAACCGCTACACTATCGCTCCCCACACACACACACACGCTGACACACACACACGCTGACACACACACACTGACACACACACACGCTGACACACATACACGCTGACACACACGCTGACACACACACACAGGATGACACACTGACACACACACTGACACACACGCTGACACACACACACGCTGATACACACAGAGGCTTGACGAGTACAGTTAGTTACTCAACTATCTCTAATGGTTCCGTGACTCAGTTGTAAGAATTGTCAGAATCAGAATCTTGTTTATTTATCCTGGAGAAATCCGACGTGCTGTGAAGCTCTTCGTCACACGTGTCCAGTAGGGGCGGCGGGCTCAGATTGCACCGCAAGCAGAAAGGTGCGCTAAAATAAAAATAAAAACACTAAACTCCATCCAATTTAACGCGAGGCATTGCTTTTCGCTCCCGACTGCTCTCATTTTATCTCGTGTATTCTTCCAATCGTGATATGAAGCTTGCGTGACTGCAGGAATCCATACTCTATGGTTCTTTCGGTAAAGTCACGCAGGTAAAAAAAAAACAAATAAAACCTCCGTTAAATTTCGATTTAAAGCTTTCGTGACTGCAGGGATTCATCTTCTTGGTTCTTTCGGTAAAGTCACGTAGAAGGGAAATAATAAAATAATAAAAAATATAAAACAATAAAATTCTCACGACGTTATTTTTCGTTTCATTGTTCTACCTACGTGACTTTAGCGAAAGAACCAAAGAGTATCGTGGACTCTTGTTAGTTTACACTGCGATGGTGACTGCGGGCAGAGGGAAATCCGTGGCCGAGTGTCATCTCCCGTTGTGAAGCTTCCGGGGGAACAACCTCATCTCTCTCGTCCCTTGACCTCGTCAAATCTTCCCTCCCAAAACAAAAAAAGAAAACCAAATACAGGGACATTCGCGACTGTAACTATGAACCTTGCCCATGGTATCGAGAGTTAACATTTGAAGTGGAACGTAATCGAGTGACTGCGTCGTCTCTGTGTGGTCTTGGTCTTTTTTGTTTTTCTGCATTGCCCAAGGTCGCCACGGTGGCGAGATGTCAACTACCTCGCCTGGTATGCAGGAGGTCGCGCGGGTTCAATACGGACCCCAGCAACGCCTGCTGTATATGTTGGAGTTTGCGTGTCTCCCTCTCTCTCTCTCTCTCCCCGTGGTCGCGTGGATTTTACTCCGGGTCCTCCGGTTTTTCCCTTCAAATTTTAGAGTATTTGTGCTGCTCTAAATTTTCCACGCGATAAGCCACAATGTCGAGCTATCATAGCTGGTTAAATAAAAAAGGTTTTTTTTTGCTTGCGTTGTTTAAGCTCGCGTTTGGTGTTGACAAATCCGCAGGAAATATTTATGCACGAGTGCAATCTGTACTTCCACGCTTTATTTATGTTTAACTATTTAATCAGTGAACTTAACCCTTTCTCGAACTTGCTCTTGTATCCTTGCTGGTATTGTCTGTTGATGTAACATCGCTGACCATCCCCGACTGGGCAGCTGGGGAAAAAAAGAGCTTCATAAAATCATCGAATTTCTCCGCAATAAAATAAAGATTGTGAAAATTGCAGTTAATTATATCGGTAGATTTTCGTTGTTCATTAAACTTGACTATCGTGCAACGCCTGTTTACACGGGAGAATAAAAATGTAATTTAACCGCACGAAGGAAGAAAAAAAGGTACAACATGCAGTGTACATACATCACGAATTACCAACTTAAAACAAAATTATCCCTTCAGTGATGACAGAGCAAGCAGACAATGCCTCCTATCAGGTGGTGTTTACAGTCGCCACGATGATGCTAACGGTGAGTCTGAGTTATGCATAATTATAGTTCTAATGTCCGATGTTTCACAGCCACGTGCTTGAGAAGCTTCTTTGGGGGAATCGTATTGACCGAATAAATTGTAAACCACATTTGCATTTTACCAGGTAAGGCCGACTGAACTACACGGCTCTTTTTCAGCAGCGACCTGACCACAAATGACAGCTCAACGAAGAGGCTCATCACGTGGGAATGTATAGCGGCCATACACTCTAAACGCGTGTTCACTCAAGTCGGGATCGAACCCACGACCTCCGGCGAGGGAGGTAGCACATCGGAAAGCCGTAAAATAAATTCAGTTTCCTTTTTTAATAATCGGTCAGCTTTATCAACATGTGGCAAACACTTTCACAATATACGCACATAAAACACACGCCTTCCCCCTGCGCTGTTAAAATGTGAACCTTTATTTAAAATGTGAAACCTTGATTCAAACCGTGGCGTGCGTTTAAACGAGAGGGAAACGATCTGCGTCGTGGGCACCCTCGCACGATCGCTTCTCGACGCACGGCAGGGGCAGCGGGGGCAGCGCGATCGCTGCTCCACGCACGGTGGGGGCAGCGGGGGGGGCATCGTTCGCGAATCCCACGGAAAAATCCGGCCGCGGATAAAAATTCGTACAGATTCACCGGCGGATATAAAAAAAAACATCCGTATATAAATACCCCCCCCACCTCCCGGGTAATTTAAGAAGATAAAAGTAGCAAGCGATTAAAACTTTATGTTCCACCGCCATGCATCCACCCACCCCACCGCCCCCGCCGCCCCCATCCCTCCACGTGCTTCACGTGCCGTTAAAAACAAACCCCGTCGTCGTTAATTGGCAAACTCATCTCAAGAGCCCCTTGGCTTTCTTTTTCGGCGTGGCCTTGCGCGGCGCGCGGCATCGCTCCTTCTGCGGGACACACACAGCGGCGGGGAGCCACGGGTTACAGTTTTCCGTCGCGCTCCATTCGGAACGGCGGATTTCGCGTTCAATTTGATTTTCTTGCCGTGGCGAGGAGGGGAAAGGGGGAAGGGGGGAGAGGGGAAGGGGAGAAACAACAACAACAACAAAAACGACAACCGCGATCGAAAATAAAGCGACTCCATTAATTTTTCAACAGCGGCTCGCGCACGGCGTTGGTCGCAACGCACGTACGCACATTGAGCCTCTTTCCCACCGTACGTAGCCAACCGTGCCACTTGCAGGTGCGGGGGAAGGACAACAAACTAAACACGAGAAGCAGTTCTAAAGAAATTCGCTTTCAATCTGGACGATTTAAAATTGCACAGCTCTCGGTGGCTTCCTCATATCGGAAGAGCGTTCCAGACGGCCGCGGAAGCGCATGCGAAAGCGCGCGATGCGGTGACCGCCTTTGTTCGATGGCCAGCCAGAAGCTGCTGCTGCTGCTGCTGCTGCGAGGATGACCGGGCGAGTTCACGTGATGATGGTTTATTCCCCTTGACGACGGAGCCGTGACACCCCCTGGTTAACGCCACGCGCTATTCGCTCCACAGCCGAGGGTTCGAGATCCCATGACGCTGTTCGCAAACGAGAAGGTGTGCCGTTGTGTGCCGGCGTTGTCGCGGTCCAAATTCACCAATTACCAGCAATACCCCGCGCCACCCCCCCGGTTTACGTCAGGGATGCGTTCTTGCAAAGGTGCGACGAGGAATATCGAAACGACGAAAAACCCAAAGGGATTTACAGGGCAGCAGTAGCAGTGGGTGGTGGAGACGAAAGGCTGAGGGGCGACGGCTAACGGCGAAAGGACGGGACGACGCTGTCAGCGGGCGTGAGCGTGTGTGGGGGGGGGTTGAGGAGACGCAGTTCGGGTGGCAGCGTTAATGATAAAGCGACGACGTGTTTGCGGAACGACGTGAAATGGGGGGGGGGAGTGGGGGGGAGACGTAAATCGCGGTGCGTGACTGTACTCAGTTTGGGAAAACTACAGAGCAACATCGCCCCCTGCTGGCGCTCTACGGATAGATTCAATAATCCATTGCCGGACTCTTGAATCGACTGCTGCCATCTCCAAGCCTATAACACCTGGCACTCTCAGGTGGTCTCCCAATCCAAGTGCCGACTCGGCTCAGCAGCAGCTTAGCCTCTGAGATCAGAAGACAAATCACCCACAATGCGTCCCACCTCATCATCCCTCAGAAGCTAAGCCGACTTGAGCCTGGATAGTGCTTGAGGATGGGCGCCCCGCACACGCGTGACAGACGTCATGGGCTACAACAACGCGGGGGCCATTAGGTGGACACGGAGGGAACGCCGCAGAAAAAAAGACACCCCGATGTTGTACTGTACTCCTACACTCGCGGGGGCTACACGCTCACCGCCTTCGCCGACCCGCGCCGACCGGCGTGGCCAAGTACAGTGAAACGGGGGCAGGGGACACACGCTCCCTCATCCAGCAGTGGATCGACAAAGGAGGGGCCGTGTGCACACGGGTACGGCGAACGGCGGCGGGGCAAGGGACGCGACGGCTACGTATTGTGGACCGAACACCGTTCCAGTCGGCCAATCGGGAGGGCGGCGGCGGCGGCGGCGGCGGCGACAGCCCCGGCGACGGGTGGGGGCAGCGATCTCCCTACCTGGGCGTGCGGCGCCACGGCCTGCAGCAGGGCCGCTGCGCGTCTCTCGGCCGCGTCCCCCGGCTCCTCGACGGCCACGCCGTCCGCGCCGTGGCCGCCCGTGGCGGACCCCTCCTCTGCACGCGACACCACGGCGGGGCAAGGGAGGGCCGGAACGCTCGACACTCGGGGCTAGGCGGCAAGACGGCGCCCGCCGACGGAGGCTCGTGGCGGCTGCGGCCGCCCCGGTTGAACACCGGCCGCCCCGGTTGAACACCGGCGGGCGCGTTAACCCCACGAGCGCGGCACGCGGCGGCGGCCGCCTGCTGGGGCGGTGGACCCTGAAAAGAACCCCGCGTGCCGCCGTCGCGAGATCAATTCGGCCGGTTCGGTAAGCCACTTGTCGAGTACGTTACGAGCGCCCCACTTGGAGGCCCGGGGCAACTCCTGACACTGCTAGCGAGCGCCTATTAAGGCCGCGACGACACACCAGACGGTGGGTGACCCATAACCAAGCCCGGCCACCTTAGTCTCCCCAGCGCCGACGACGTTTACACGCCGCACCGGGTTACTCATTGTGGGTCGAGTCGACCTGGGGAAGGCCCAGGCACAGTTCAAACGTTCGCCACCGTTGATGGTCGCGAGCGGGAATCCGAACTCGTGCCGCCGGGTATCGTAGCGCAGCAACGCTAAACCGCTCCACTGCCGTTCCGCCCTCACCTGTATGCACTCATGAGCAGATGTGTTTAACGGATTTAAGAACACACGAAGACAAAGATTCCCCCCGATAGCCTTAACAGACAGTGCTGTTAGCGTGCGCCTGTTGAGGCCGCATCTGCACACGAGACGGTGGGCGGTGAGCACCTCATCGGGGCCGCCTTTGTCTCCCCAAGGCGGTGATATTTATACACCGCACCAGGACGAAGGCCGAGTTGACTTGTGGGGAGGACCGGTTCGATTGTCCGTCATCAATGTTGGGGTTGTGAGCGGGAATCGAACTCGGGGCCACCGGGTGATTTGTAGCACCAGCACGCGCTAACAGCGCTCACCCCACGAGACACTGCGATGCGCACGCTCGCTCGCCAGGCCTAGCTCACCGGGGGTGGTGGAGGGTTTTCTCTTGCGGGCCGTGCGACGTGCAGACGCCACCTCGCCGTACAGCCGCCGGAGGTCACCGTCGAACACGACCTCAGCGCTCAGGTCGACGCACGATGCCAGGTTCTGCATCGGTAGTGCGGGGGGGGGGGTAGGGGGCGCGAGTTTGGGGGCGGGGGATTGGAGCGGTATCAGCGGGGGAGGTGGGGGGAGCCAACGAACACAGAGGCAGCGCGACGCGTGGGGTCAGCGGGGCGGTTCACGAGCGCTGGCTCCCTCGCAGAAGGAGAAGGCCGGGAACGGCCTCCGCAAACGTGAGCGAGAGAGGATCCCGGGAGAGTTCGAGTGTTGGGTTTATTTTCCGTGACAGACGTTGCTTTGGGTTAGATCGCTTCAATATAAATGCGTCGTGAAACCCGCCACCACGCGGCACAGCCAATCAGTAAGCTTTGTGTCACGAGCACAGCACACCCGGTGTGTTGTGAGAGTAAACCCACCGCCACAATATTCACAAGTCGAGAACGACGTTTCGCTGGTAATTACAGCCAGCCTCATCAGGCGGACAGCGAGATTTGCGGGAAGAGTCCTCCTGTTTCGTTTTCTTAAATAGAGTGATAGATGTGATGTTGTCACCTGTGACCCAATGAGGTGCAAAAGTGTTCATGTATTCAACACACCGGTGTGCTGTACCAGTAACTAATTGGCACGCTTTGTTTACGTGACAAACCTTACTAATTGGCTGTATCGGGTGGTGGCGGGTTTAACGACACATTTATAGATTCACGCGATATAACCTATTATGGATACTATTGGTCGGGAAAGCCTACTCGTTAAACTGAGCTTTTTGCATTCGTTGAACGGACGATGATCCCGTTGGCAGCGAGTGTGCCCGGCCATGTTACAAGGGAGGAGGATCAGCGGCGCGTGAGCACAACAACAACAACAGAGACAACAAACAAACAAAACGTCAAGCGCTGTGTTTCAGAGAAGCGAGTAGAGCCGGGCGTCCTGAAGGAACGCTGAGCAACTAACAAACTACGGTCGTCAACGAAAAACAGCACGTGAACCAAAAAGTTGGGTGCAGGGTGTAAGTAGGCTCTATTATTTTAGTCTAACAAAGACAAAGCTTTTCCACCCCCCCCCCCCTCCACCCGTATAGCCTAAACAGACCGCTGGGGCAAGTGCTGTGCGCCTATGATGGTGACATAAACACTCGCAAATCTAAAAGGACGAGTCGGTGGCACGGCTGTTAAGAGTGCAATCCGCGAGTGATGCCTGAACCGGCCCTGGGCACCCATTCCCTCCGATCGCCGACCACCCACACGCGCGTTCAGAGCGCACTCGAATGACGCGCGCCATGGATTTTGCAAAGCGGCATGCTCGTGATCCTCCCGTACGACGTACGATCGACACCTCTCGTACAACGGAGGCCGGCCGAGCGTTGCAAGGCGGCGAACCTCCTCCCAGCTGATGGAGCTTACGATCCAGGAAATATATGACAAACGACGCCCTTTATGTCTACCCGGGGAGAGCTTTACCGGGCGGAAAAAAAAATGCACACGGTAAACCTTCGGTGCGCGTGAGAGTTGTGGATTCGCGAGCGTTTTCAAGAACGCAACCCTCGCAGATAGAGAGGGTTTATTGTGTGTACATCTTTTAACCCATCGGTGTCGCGCACCGTCGCCAGGAGCCAAACAAGGCTCGCTCGAAATTGTCACACGGCGTGTGTGCACACCCGCCCGCGCACGCGCGTGCGCGGGTGTGTGTGTGCGCGTGCGTGTGTGTGTGCGTGTGTGTGTGTGTGTGCGCGTGCGTGCGTGCGTGTGTGTGCGTGTGCGTGCGTGCGAACCACCGCTGCGCCACCCAGACAGAGACAAACACGTGCATGCACGAAGAAGTCGAAGATAACGCAATAAAATCCCACTGGTGCGCGAAACCGCCGTTCCCCATGAAAAAAAAAAAAAAAATGTCATCGCACGCGCGTCGCGGATGATTTCACCGGGCGTCCCGCGGTAATCTCGCTCACGATCCGGCGCTTGTCGGGGCGAGGGAGAACAAAACGCTCCGGCGGGAGGGGGCGGGGGAGGCGGAGGGGGAGGCGGAGAGGGGTTGGGGGGGGTTGGAGGAGGGAAGCGTCTTTAATCACGACGGCCCATTGTGACGAGGGGGCCACCCCCTCCACGACGGTCGCGCGCCACCTCCGAGATAAGGCCGCCACCTGCGGACGCGTCGCGCTCGCCAATCAACGCCGGCGCGGAGCTAATAGCGAACGTCTCGGCGCGCGAGCCGCGGCTCTGTAGCGCTGCCAGCCGCCGACAGCCACCGCCGCCGCCGCCGCCGCCGCCGCCGCCGCCGAAGCGGCTGCCGATGTTGTCGCGAGCGCGTGAAAAAAAAGATGACAATATTTCGACAACAACATGGAGGATGAACAGCGCCCGGATGACGGAAGGTGGCCGTGGTGGCAAGCGACAAGACTACGGGCGCGCACCTCTCGAGCTGTGATTCTACGGGGGGAGAGAGAGAAAGAGGAGAGAAAAAACCAAAATAAAACTGACGAGAAATAGAAAACCAAGGGAGAGAAAGGGCAGTTACGGCAAAGCCCTCGTTTGACGCGGCAGATGCATTCCTGAAAGAGTGCCGCATTAAGTGAAAAAACATTGTTGCTCGAGGGCAAATTGGGCTTTCATCGTTCCAGGCGGTGGTTGAGTAGCTGCTGCCACACTATACAATTCAATTGATTTTACAGACAGAACCATGCCATTCCGCGCCACTGCCGTGCACGCCTGTCCGCGCATCTCAGGGCGAGCGCAAAAGCCTCCTCGGCAACGATCGCCGGCGCTAAGACTGCCCTCGTCTTTCACGGCAAACAACGCTGCTGCCGCCGCTGCCACCGCCGCCACCACGGTGCAGCGGTCAACACGCCGGGCATGCGATCCCGAGGTCGCCGGCTCGATCCGATTCGAATTCCCGGAGCGGCAGTTCGAACGGCGGGAGCGAGTTGATTAAATCCCCACCCACGTCCCTCTCCCGCCACGCCGTATCACCGCCTCCGCCCATCGCATCCCACGGCAGTCTAAATAGGTACGCGACGGTCAATCGGCGGGTTACGTGCGGGGGGCTAAAGTGTGGGTACCCCCCACCTCTTCCGCGGCGTGTGTGCACAGTTGGTACGGAGCCGACCGTGCTGATCGGAGGCGCCAGCGTGGGAAGAGAGCGGACGCCTTTCTCGCCAGGCTAGCGGCACAAGCAACCCGGTTGAGGGGGAAGGGGCGGGGTGGGGAGCGGCGAGCTTGCGCGGCCTTTTTACTTTTAACCCGGCCTGGGCAACGGAAGACATGGGGGCACCTTTTTGCGCGAAATAAAACAAAAAAAATCCCGGACGGCAACAAACCCTGGTCTGGATTGCAAAGTGCGCGTTCCTTTGCCAGAGCCGCTGGGGGAGGTGGGGGGTGGATGGGGGGGTGGGGAGTGGGGCGGTTGGGGGGGTTCCACGCGCCCCGTTGCGGAAGCCTAACTCCGAAGCTTTTGCGGACGAGCGGCATAAATGACTCCCTCTAATTCCTCGCAGTTTCCTGCATGCTTGAGCATGGTTTACCGCGCCGCACTGCTTAATGACCGTCCGTGTCGCCGAGTTAAAGCCCCGCGTCTCAAAGGGGCTGCTATTCTGCGAGCGGCTGCCAAAGGTGGGGGGAGGTGGGGATGGCGGCGGGGAGCACTGCGACACGGAGACAAGTGGCATTATTATTATTATTATTCCGATATAATTACGACGGCTCCAGACCCCTTCCATGAGCGGACCCCGAGCTCAGAATTCCACATGTCCAGGAGCTCAGTCTCCCAGACGTACGCATGTATTCGCACTCGTCTTACACACAGCGTGCTCGCCACAAATGAACCACAACACCTACAGCACCTGGCCGAGCGGTCACGGTCGTGGTCACCATCATCACGAAAATCCCGTTCATCCTCGCACCGGCGGCATTTTGGCTTTCCGTCAAAGAAAGACGGTGGTCACCGCATCACGCGCTTTCGGACGCGCTTCTGCGGCCGTCTGGAACGCTCTTCCTTCCGATATTAGGAAGCCACTGGAAATGGGAAAACTCATTTCTTTAGAACTGATTGTTGTATTTTGATATTCTTGGTTCTTTCGGTAAAGTCATGTTGAAGGGAAACAATAAAATATATATATAAAACAATACAATTCTCACAACGTTTCGACTGCAACACAAGCAGTCATCATCAGGTGTGAAAACCAACGGCAAGAACATTTGAAAGAAGTGGCGGTTTGTATTTATTTATTTATAAACTTTAGCACCACGGATAGCGATTTGACAGTTTGTTTAGATGGACGAGTCCATCTATGTTCGGAAAAGAGGAGGGGGGAGACGAAAAATTAATGTATGCTGTCTGAAAGCCACCGTAATCGTGAACAATCAATTAAGACCCGAAATGGTTTATCAAATCCGATTGACTGTTGTGTTTAGTTTGTTGTCCTTCCCCCGCAGGTCACAACAACACACTCACTCATCCACCCTCTCACCCCACTCACTCACTCGACCCATTCACCGACTCACTCACTCACTCACCCACTCACCCACTGGGTCACACTGCAGCTCACAACGCTTCTCTTTCTGCTCCTCCCACTGCTCCCTCTACCGTCTCTCACCGCAAGCTCCGACGACGACCTTGGTTCAATTCAGGAAACCTGTCGACTCTTATCGACGACACCTTCAAGAGTGATGGCAACTGCTTGAGGAGACCTTTAACCGGCAGTGGACTGACCATGGCTGATAGTGATCATGATGATTGCGCAGTAATGGCATGGACCGATCAGACGGACGGCCGATGGGGCTGTTCCAAATACAAGACGTGAAGCCAACTAACTGTGCAATTGCATCCGCCAAAAAACGTCCCTGCGCGGACTATCGCTCCGCACTCTCTGCGCCGGTGCACCTGACCGCCCGAGGTTGGATCCTGGCCAGGGCTCATGTCGTCGGAGAGAGAGCCGTGTAGGATTTGTTCCTTGCCTCCGCCATCCCACCCATTCACCACCAACCCACGGTGACCGACGTGGTGACGTACGGTCAAACCAACTCTGCGCCCACACCTCGCCAAATGTTCGTATG